CCCATCATCAAAGTCGTTCGAAGACATGACACGTACCCTAAAACGAACATTTGCCTCTGTCTTTCAGGATGGCTTGGGCCCTTGTACGAAATTCAAGGTAACGCTGAGCCTGCGACCATTTGTTAAACCTGGATTCAAGGCTGAACTATTGGTACCATATGCAGCCATGTCAACCGTTGATCAAGAACTCGATCGACTGGAACGTGCCGGAGTCATAACAGCCCTCAACTACTCATCTTGGGCCGCACCTATTGTCACAATGAAGAAAGCAAATGACAAGGTACGCGTCTGCGCTGACTTCTCAACTGGCCTCAACGCCGCGCTGGACGACCACCAGTACCCATTACCTGTACCGGAAGATTTCTTTGCAAAGCTGAATGGTGGTAAGTACTTTGTTAAGCTTGATCTATCTGATGCCTACCTTCAAGTGGATGTAGACGAAGTCCCCAGGGAGTTGGTGACGATCAACACTCATCGTGGACTATTCCAATACAACCGCTTGCCACTTGGTGTGAAAACGGCACCAGCCATCTTCCAACGCTTGATGGTTACCATGCTAGCGGGCGTTTCTGGACCCGCTGCATATCTGTATGATATCGTAGTGATGAGTCGAACACCGGGAGAACTTTTTAACCGCCTGGATGAAGTGCTTGGTTGTATACAGTCGTACGATTTCCGGATCCGTGAGGATAAATGCACATTTTTCACGTCGATCATCAAATGCCGTTTTATCATCGAAAAGGATGGACGTCGACCGGATCCGGAAAATCTAGAAGCCATTAGAAAAATGCCTACACCAACAGATCTACATTCCTTGCGTTCCTTTTGTGGGCTCATCAGCTACTACAGCGCTTTCTTGCCTGAGATGCACCGCCTGCGTGCCCCATTAAACAAGCTACCAGCCAAAGGCCAAACTTGGAACTGGACATCAGAATGAAAGAATGCCTTCGAACGGGTCACGACATTGCTGTCCTCAAACTTGCTTTTGACTCATTTTGATCCCTCCAAAGAGATTGTCCTCAGCGCTGATGCATCAAGCCATGAGATTGGTGCAGTAATTGCACACACGTACACCGATGGATCTCAGAAATCAATGGCTCATGCCGCCAGAACACTTACGAAGAGCGAGAGGAATTACAGCCAGATTGAGAAAGAAGCATTGGCCATAGTGTACGCGGTCAAGAAATTCCACAAACTGCTATACGGCCGCCGCTTCAAGTTTCTGACAGATCACAAGCCCTTGCTGGCTATCTTTAGTTCGAAAAAGGGCATCCCGGCCTACACAGCCAAGCGGTTACAACCTTGGGCTCTTACCCTAATGGGGTATGATTTCGAGATCCACTACCAATCGACAATTTCCATTGGTCAAGCAAATGCACTTTCGCGCCTAATTGATGCCCATCAGAAAGAACACGATGACACAATCGTTGCCCCGGTCGAGATTGAACCTGACGTCAACTTCCTGGTAACTGATGCATTGCACGGTCTACCAGTTACCGCAGAAGCTGTGCGAACCATAACTCTTCGGGACCCAATACTCAAGAAAGTTACACAGTTCCAGTAAACAAGTTGGCCACGTTCATGTCCATCTGCCAACTTGCAACAGTACTTCCAGAGGAGACACTCGCTATCTATTGTAAACGACTGCATACTATTTTCGGAAAGAGTGGTATCCCCAAGGCACTTCGGGAGCGCCTTATTCAGCAGTTCCACGCCAATTATCCTGGAATCAACCGGATGGAGGCGCTTGCCCGCAGTTATGTATACTGGCCCTTCATGAACAAACAGCTAGAAGAAATAGCTAAACACTGCCAAAAGTGCGCCAATGTCTTGAAAGCGCCACAAAAAGCAGAACTCTTTTCATGGCCTAAAGCTACTAAGCCTTGGCGCCGCATCCATGTCGACTTTGCAGGACCGATCAACTGCAGAAATTCGTTAATGATAGTCGACTCATACAGCAAGTGGTCTGATGTATTTATCATGGATAGCACAACCACCAACGCCACTGTATCAAAACTGTGCTAAACCTTTAGCAGGTTCGGCTGTCCTGAGCCGATGGTGACTGACAGTGGCACACAATTCACTTCGGCAACGTTTACGGAGCTCTCTAAGGAATGCGTCGTCCAGCACATTCCCTCGCCGCCGTTTCACCCACAGTCGAATGCCCAGGCAGAAAGATTTGTCCATACATTCAAGCGAGCTCTCCACAAATCAAAAGGGAAGGGACGTATAGTGGAGGTGGTTGACCGGTTCCTTTTTCTCTACCGATCAACACCGAATCCACAAGCGCCAGACGGAATTTCTCCAGCACGTGCTATGATGAACCGGAAGCTCCGCACGCCATCCGACTGCGCTCGGCATTCTCTGTTGGTGAAAGAAACCGCAGAACGGAACAGCATTTTAACTGGCGGTATGGAGCAAAGAAGCGATCGTTTACGCTTGGACAGAAAGTGCTAGTTCGTGACTATCGGGAAGGCCATGCGAAATAGACGCCAGGGACGGTCAAAAGCAAGCGCGGAAACGTCATGTATGATGTGATGGTGGGCGCACACATCCGGGAACGGCATGCAAACCAGTTACGGCCAAACATTGTGCCAACCAGAACAAGGTTTGCTTTGCAACCATAAGGCCACCGGTTCGAATCCGCGGAGGGGTGGGCGTCCTCGCGGTATACTCAGCCCGCGCGCGATTGGTGGTGGTCGCACGGCAGCGAAGCGCCGTTACGGCGTACAGCTGACACATTATTATTATTACTTACTTCCCGTTCGATTTATTGGTAAAAAGCTTCAACTTGCCGAAGGAAGCAGTGGACGACTGCACACAGTCGAGCAAAGAATCCAGAACACGGACATCGGAACAAAGTTCTCGGGCACCTCTGCCATGGAGTTGGACTGAGAGACTGAGAACACCGTCCCGAAGACTGAAAGTTAATTCTAGGCTTTCGTCATATACTTCGGACGATATCACAGGAGGGGAGATGATCGGGAGAAAGTAAGAATTGCCTAGGAAATTCACTATTTTGGCGATTACTCGATTATTAACGGTTATGGCATCGTTTTCGAACGTTCCGGAATGCTCGAGTTGCTGCACATGATTAAACTCCACCTGGCACCTCGGCAAAAGATATGGGGAACCACTAACCTTGCTAGCTGCCCTTCCAATTGTAGGTCAGTAAGAGACCTATAAGTACAGCCACGGTCCGCAGTAGGTGTACAGTGTTTATTGACGTCGATTAATACGTTATTTTGTTGAGATCATTGGCGTTCTGCTCTTTCCTTCGGTTGTGCTAAAAGTTTTGTGGAGCAGTTAAGTGTCGATTTCGGAATCGTGTCTAGTGAGTAGATTATAACATGATCCCTTCACCCGGCTCCCTAGTTTTTTAATACTATTTGCTATCACTTTTTTGCTATTTCTAACTTTGCTTTCGTTATGTTTACCACAGTGGCGCGATTCTGAACAATTCTTTTCTCCACAGGTAGCTCCTTTATTCCCTCTTTTATCGCGCATGCCTCACTTACAGGATCGTTTTATGTTGTTTTGTAGTCATAGTCCCTTCACATACATCTGGGTTTTCATATAGAATATTCTATTTTTAGATTCGCCGTCTGCGGTAGATTTCTGGATCTACATGTCTCATGGCAACTTGGACTGAGATTCGGGAACTTGCTGGCAAGTTAAAAGCAGCTCAAGCGAAACAAGATGTCCATTGCTTATCCGAGCGCATCTGGGTCGATGTTATCAAGCATCTGGCGGATATAAATCGTCTGAAGCTTGTATTCACAACTGACGGACATTCTTTTCTAACCAAACAAGAATTGGAAAAAGAAATCAGAGAGGAGGTAGAGGCCCACAATGGACGGATTTCTCTGGTCGAACTTGCTTCCAACCTGGATGTAGACTATTCTTTGATCGAAACGATTGCATCTGGACTGGTCATCACTGATTGCCAAGTAACTGATGCTGATCGTTTATTGAGTATTCCTGGTGAGCTATTGAGTACATCTTACCTCCGCCTCGTGGCACAGGAAATACAAGACCGCTTGATTGAGCGTGGGCAGGTGACTATAGGCGAGTTGGCTTCAATTTTCAGTCTACCTACGGCACTTCTTACGAATGTTATCGATCTGTATCAAGACACCCTTTTCCATGTTTTTAAGTTAGAGGAAAAATATATAACAAAGGAGTGCATGGCTGAAAACAGGGCCAAAGTCCGTGGCTATTTCACTGCCATCACATATCCCATTACCTTGGCTTCTGTTGCGCAGAGATTGGACATTTCAATAAACTTTTTATCGAGTGTTGTTTCAAGTCTCATCAACAATGGACAACTGCGTGGCAAGTTAGTCGCCAATCGTGGTATGTACATTCCATCTTGTTATTCGATGGCAGAAGACAATTACGTAAACTCTTTCTACACACAAAACGGATATGTCGAATGGGATCATCTGAAAAAGTTAGGTATTTCGGATCCTGGGGCTTATTTGCGCTCACTTTTGCCTGATGCTACACACCTTTCTGGGGTGTCTATCGCCCCAACGCTACTAAGTCAGTTGGGTGGTTTATTGGAGGAAACAGCTCATGGTGGAACTTGGGCTGATCTTACTCACTGCATACCGGCAGGATTAAGCGGTCTGGAAAGAATGAGAATTGTTGAACCCCTTATACGAACCTTACCACTCAAGCAAGTTATGCAAGCCCAGTACGTGATCTCGGACGCCTTCATTAGTGAGTGTGTACCTCATTTTGAAAACTTCATTCACCTACAAGCGGAACTTGGAGCTAAGGATCGCCAATCGTTCACACAGCCACAACGATCCTCAAAGATCGAGCGCGAGTACTCGACTAACCGAATTCCTCAGGTTGCCGCTAAGGGTGGTTTCGGAATAGGTGCTCGCGAGCTGAAAACAAAGAATGTAAAAAAGAAATATGCACCAGGGAAGCGTCGCTCAACATTACCCTCCTCTGAAGTTGCGGGAATATTGGAGAATGGAGGCTCCTTCTCTGAATTGTCTATGTCTAAATACTTGCCCAAGAACAAACTGTTGGAAATACTGGACAATGCGCTACCCACGGATGTACCTAAGGAAATTATCGATGGCGTCGTCAACATCTTAATCCCCCAGTTTGAGTCCAAGTTCAAGCAACTTGTAGACTCCATTTTTATTCCAAATTCGTCAACCGCGCGCAGACGAGAGTCTGTTCTACAAACGCAGGATACGGTAAACACTATGCTGCTGGCAATCCAGGTGCGTTTTACCCTAGTTCCCAACTCATTCTAACATTTTAGCCTTCCGGATTTTCATTTTTAGCAATTTATTTTTCTTTTTAGCTAATTTCAGCCATTCTAGCCGCTTCATTGTGTATTTCCACCAGTGTGTCTTTGACCAGTGTGTCTCCCAAAGTTACGACAGACAACTGAATTTACTCTAAAGTTACTCATTTACAGCACTATGGGGTGCGTTCTGCATCTACACGATGGCCTAGCGATTACCTCAAGTAGTTTTGAGTAGCCAAGTTAGTAGAGGGATTGTTGCGGATTCATAATTCATATGGCCTGAGGATTCTATCGAGATGAATTTCCCTATTGCTTTTTTTCTCCGTTTCAAAACATACCACAATTCTCATTTGCTACCGCGTCACCATGTGTATTCAGCGACTTGTTTCTCATACAGTTACACGCTTCATGTTGTCCTTTAGGAACAACTCGAACAGCGCCACCGCTTGTCACGCTTTCTTCTGGAGTATCACTTTCATGTTAGACTGTTAGCGATCTCGCATTCAATCTTATCTGTATCTAGCCGTTCGTCTTCACTCTTGGACCACAGGACACCGTATACTGGCTTATTGGTCTAGAGCGTGAATGTCGTCGACACAGTTCAACTCATTGCACCAACAGTGCTCCAGGAATTGTAGCGCGATAGATATTTGTCTCATGACTTCCATCGTTACAATAATTTTTACTAATAGTTACAGAGAATGATGATACGATAACAATCAAACGATTAAAGTAAAAAGTGTAGTCGTTACATGAACAAGTGCATATGTCAGTAGCTGATAAAATACCAGAGCACGGTGTATTTAAGAGAGCGTTAACCCCCTCCAAGAAGAACCGATCTACCAACCCGACTTAGTCGTACATTCGCTTCTTGCCCTTAGCATTTCATCTGATGGCGATCCCATGGCTTCGCAGCCACGCACTCTAATTGCGACTCATGCTCAATAGATATGTGATTCACCCGCACACAAAAACGTAACATAACCTTCTAAGACGGTTCCGGTTTAGCAGTTTCTTCTATGCGACGCCACAGTTTATCACCAATGATCAATTGGCACTAGATGCAAACGACGATGACCAGGCGCCGGTGCCCATGAGAAGCAGTTTCGTGATATCATCAACGCGCGGTGGCTGTGTATCTGATTCTTACAGTAACGCTAAGCGCCGCAGCGCTAGACACTGCATTTTCTCATTATTAATATGATGTCCCACCTTATGCGTAATCGATTGTGCCCTTGAATAATCACACTGACATACTGATGCCAGCAGTAACCTCCGGCAGTTCGATTACCAGTGATGGAACCAAATGGATCTTCAGTGGTGCCGAGGATCACTGGCATATTGTCTGTCATGTAGTAGTACCTACACTTTAAAGCCTCGAGGCATATATTGTGAAGTGTGATGATCTTGATCTGTCTATCTCTAAATGGTTGTGCGTAACCGGATCTACCTGCGTATTCGAGTTTGCCAGATGATAGCTTGTGTATTCTCTGCTCAATAGGGAGCGGCTAAAAATTCGCCATACAAGATCAAGTTGGATGCCTGAACACATCTCACTTGTGGTGCACCCAGAAGCCAACCCCCCTTACGCCACACTGCCTCCAGAGTCGCATGTTAAAGATGAGAAAAAACTTCCGTGGTAAGCCTATCAAAAGTGAATGGTATCACAAACAGGCGCCATCGGAGAAGTGAAAGATGGCCTTCAGCCAGAAGTAGACCACCAAGATAGGACCTGTATTTGCGTGGATATATTTTCACATCCTGCTAACTAGATGTGACTGATTCCTCTTCTGTGTGAACGAGGGTCTGTCCAGCTCTCATTCCTTTCACTTTCCGATGATCTAGTGTAATGGTGCCTACATAAAGATTGGTGTTGCTGACCATACGAGAAATTCATTGGCGACTAACGCACGGCTTTCCACAATGATTATAATGATGACTAGCACTCAACAATTCGAAGAGATCTGTGCGCTGCACTAACTAACGTTCAGTAAACTGGTCCGACCAACCGCAAGTGAGTGAGCGATGGTCGGGGTCACCGAGTCCAAGCGTTCTGTTTTGCTTCATTGGCTCTGGTCCACATCGTATCCGTTTGAAACTAAGAGGCGAGACATCGAGAGACAAACGGTAGGTGCACCGTATTGGTCCGACATATCTCGCTCGAAACTCAAGCCAATGCGTCTTTCTCAAATCTCACTTCACCTACTGAGGTCGTTTTTTGAATCCGTGCTTCGTAAGACTTTGGGAAATGATTATTCATATTTATTAATTCGGCGTTCCGCATTACCTAGGCCTTTGTCATCCATTAGTTTTCGCTATCATTCACGAGCTGCATGAGTCGAGAGCGTCCAGTGGCTTCGGACACACCTATACTGGTATATATGGTTGGCGGTATCGGTTACGGATTTTCCTGTCACTGCGGCATCTGTAGCATAGCCACAGAACGCCTACGCCTACAGAGGGACCATGGGTGGCTTGCGCCGCACCACCCACAGCTCCATCCACACACCCCGTATCCATTGTGAACCCGAAGGAATAAGACCAGGAGGCGTGTTGTTGGGAGCCACGTTACATCAACGGAGCCGGCTCACGCTCCTTCACAGACAAACACAAGCACGTTGTATTTGGAAATCAAGCGCACACAAGGCGGTGGCTAGACCGTAGTCCGCTCCACAGTGAGTGTATGGAACCACTACTCCAGCCTAGCACGACCGCAAGGACCGTATATTCCGTCCTCTCCAGCAACGACCAACTATCTCCTGGAGCCAGGATAGACCAGGACGTAGGTACTAAACAGGTAGACACCTTGTCAACCTTCACATCAAGCGCAGTCACACAAGTGAGGTCAAGCGAAAGGCAATCACTTGTAATGACAAACAAAGTAGATTGGAAACACCATACAGATCTACCAGCATAACTCTTCGCTAAATTAGCATATGAAATAAATGTGTAATCAACATATCCGCAATCAGTTCAATATATATATATATATATATATATATATACGTTAATCTCCATAAAAATTATTCAACTTTGTTTAGTCACCTCAGTTCTGCTATTCTGCACCATGTTCCATGTCAGTTTTGCGCATTTTTCACTGAAATTCTGTATTGTGTATTTGATATCCGCAATGTAGCTGCGCTTGATGTTAATGCTGACCGGGTAGCTACCAGTCTAAGACCCTCCACCTCGATTACAGGCTCCAGAACACTGCTAATCGTTGATGCGGCTCATGTTGCCATCAGCTACGGATGGCGCACATCAGTCCAAGACTGTCGGTCACTTTGGAGTGCATGCCTAGATTTTGACCATGCTCTAGTGCGCGCGCTTGGCGCTCACTCTTCCGCTTCAAAGAAGCACTTATCTTCTAGTCTCCTTATCTGTAACTTGAGCTCAACATTGAGTTCAATAATATCATGACGAACTGTCCCACCAATTTTCAGTGATGAACGAGTTTGGTGAATCGAACGCTGACAGGGATCGTCTCAAATGTACCATGAAAAATGCTTTGACGCATACTGTGCACCCAACTTGAGATGCCCTAACTGTGAATGGATCCCTAAGCATCGATCAGCTTGATGGAAGTCTGGTGGTAGATGACAAAGGCCAGTGAGATGGGGAAAGCCAGTGCTATTGGGAACAGCCGAGTGCTATTCCAATTCATCCGGAGTACGGGTCTGAGAAAGCGAACAGTTGATGAGACAATAGCCAAGAAAGTTGGATAGTTGATTCATCCTCAACGTCATCGACTAGCTTTTGGGCGGAACATTTTGAGGAGCGGTTCAGAACATCTGCTGCGACACTGCCGCTCGCCGAATCCCCTGAGTCGTCGTGGGAAGTCGATGTCACATTTCCCATTTTTGAAGAGATTCGACGTGAGTTTTCCGCTTTGCATCGAATCAAAGCTCCTGGACCTGATGACGTCCCTCTGTCTGTGCTCTAAGATAATGATGACTCTTTGTTGACTGGATTTGCCTCTCTGTTTCACATGATTTGGAACACAGCACAGGTGCCTTTAGACTGGCGACTTTCAACTGTCGTGCCCATCATCATGAGTGGTCAGTATGCTATGTTCGAAAATCATCGAAACATGAGCCTTGTTTGCGTTACATCAAAACTTCTCACGAGCATCATTCTCCGACGACCTACTGGTCCCCTGAGAACCGAATCATTGAAAGACAGCTTGGCTTCCACCCTGGTCGTCGTTGTATCGACCACATATTTACTCTGTCAACTCTTAGTGCAGAGACATACCGGCGACCGATAACGGTGGTTTTCCTTGATTTGAAAGCCTCTTTCGACCGCACCAACTTGGGGCACTGCCTATCCATGAAAGGAGTGCCGGCTAGATTCCTTTCCACTATTCAGTCTTTCTGTCGTGGTTTCCGATTCCGTATAAAGCTCTGAAGGACTGTCTCCTGAGTGTTATGGTCACCAAGATCGCCGCAGCCGCTCCGATTCTCTGTTCACTGAAGCCTGCCCGTTCCCAATCGGCCGATCAAAAAGGCAGGGTCGTAGACACAGTTTAATGGCCGCCAGACACGGGATGATTACATAGCGGGGAGTACCGATATTTGTTTGTTTATAGCGAGCTTCCTAAAAGTCCTCTGTTCAGTTCTCTTCTTTACTTACCAATAATGCTATTAGATTGCTATTGATTGACCAATGCGATTATTTTGCTCAATTTCTGGAAAAGGGTTGGACTTTGATTATCTTTGGGTTCACTGATCCGTTCGTTAGGAGGTGCCTCTCTTAACACCTTTTCCTTTGAAGTCAACTGTTCTATGATTTCAACCTGGGGTTGATCTGGAGCGGCGTGACAGGAATTCGGCACCAGTCGGTCCATCTTCTGGGTTGACAATCAGGGGCAGGAGATGTTGGTGGGATCATAAGCTTATCTTTCTGAGTAGCCTGTTTTTGGTAGTTTGTGTTCGTCCAGAAGTAATTCAAGAGGCGTAGTTAGGGAATCTT